TTCCTGGCAGAAATCTGAAACAAACGAGCAACATTCCGTCCGTCGTAGCTTTCCGTGCAAATGTGATCGTGTGTCGGGTTCGCGGAATGGGCATGATACACGCTGTGACACGCAATGCTTCAAAGAGCCCAATCGAGTCGAAGGTACTTAAATTGAAACGCGACAAGCGTAGAATGCACGCCCGCAAGCAACGAACTCGCGAGATTACGAGATGCAATTTTTCCGCTAAAAAGTCTAATGAAATATAATCTACTTAAAAACGATAATAAACGAGACCGACTTGCAAAACATCCAGAAAAAGGTTATTTTTAAATTGAAGAAATCGTTTCATCTAATAATTTTTTTTTAGTTGAAGTGAAAATACCTTTGAGGAAAATAAAAATTTACTTAATTTCAAGAAATAACGTTCAAATAAAAAAAACTTTTCTTTAACCGTATAACAATGCACAAATTTCTTTGATTGAAACAAATTTTTTTGTATATAATAACGTTGTTTTTTAATAACTGTACATAATATTTTTAATAAAAATAAAAGAATTATGAATGTATAACTACGGGGAGATATAAATAATAGAATATCTAATTAATAAGTCGTTAATAAAATTTTTTTAATAATTAAAGATATTTTTTACAATTCAGATTTTATATAAAAAATGTTAAAATGTTTTTTTTGTTTGAAAAAGGAAATTTTGTTACTTATACGAATAGATATTATTTAATTTAAAACACATATAAATCTGTCTAATAATTTTATCATAACAAGCTCACTAATTTTCCAGCTGTATAAGATACTATTTACATTCCTTCAATTTTTTTTAAATCCACATATCTCAAGGCTACAAATTTTTTCTGACTCATTCGATATTCATCATCATAATATAAGTGGCGCATCAAATGTAAAAAACGCAAGAGCACGCTCCCATGACCAGATTCTTTTTTTTCCTTCCGAAGAGAAATTAACCCTCTAAACGGCTATTAGAGCCGAGCGGTGAGCGTCCGCGTTTTCTCTGAGAATAGACGATCTAATTCTGTGGAGACGAGAGGAAGCGAGGAACGAGCTGATGGAGCGGGACGAAGCGAGAAAGACAGACCACCGTGATTGCAATTTTAACGCCAATTTGACTTGAATCTTCTCAGCCCGAAAGAAATACTGTTTTCATGCTCAATATAGCGGCTCGCTAATAATTAACAGCCAACTCGTGGCACTTTGCATATACAGGGTGTCTCGATGCTACGAAATATATAATTCGTATCTCGAGAGTTTTTGAACTACTTATAATTTTAAACAATATTAATTTGTATAAAGTAAATTGTAATATTATATTTACATTATATCTATAAACTAACGACTTTAATTTTATATTAAATTATCTCAATTCGCAAATTTGCTTTAAATACTAATAAATATAAATCGCTATATTGTTATCAATTATTATATTATTATTAAATTATATAGGTATATGTATAAACCTATTACATAATCAGAAACTAAATTCTATTAAATTGCAGAGAAATTAATTTTGTTTATTCTATAATAAATTTCCTTACTCTGAAAATTAGATTACTTTAAAAATAAAGATAATTAGAAATTAAAACATTATTTACAATATTATAATAATCAAATTTTATTAAAGGTACTATAAAAAGAAATTGTCAACGATTGTATAATGTCATACATAGAAATTTGCAATCAATGGCGAATGTTCAAGTGAAATTCTGCGATACACCGAGTACGTGCACTGAGTAGGTCTTACGGTGCTAGCGGGTGGTCCTCATTATGTTGGTTCCCCACTGCTTACCTCCGCGTCCTATCTATTTAACGTATCGTTTGCCTTGGTAACCATCCAAATTAGCTCATCCTTCTCTATCCCACACCAACAGCATCTCTCGATTCCGCTCGTGTCCTCCTTAATTATTAGAAAGACGATGTTTAATAATGACGATCCTACCGTCACGGTGTGCTCTAATCGAAAACACTCGTTTCTTGCAAAAATTTACATCGTAATGGCGAACAACACGATAGCTAGCTTATTTAGAATATTGTCACAGGATATAATTACATATTTTTCAACACGGCATGCGTTATTAATTTTGTATAAATTTTTTTTAATTGTAAGAAGATAAAGTCAATATAATTTTAATTCGGTTGATTACTGTAGTAAAAATTTACTACCGACGAAATATTGGCTCAGTACCAATTTTTACATGTACAGATATGGTACCGAAAGAATATTGAGATATTGACTACGTTTACACCGTGCATTTAGGCCGCGACCTATACAATAGATGTCCTTGTTTATCCTGTAGGTTAAACAAAGACACCTATCGTATAGGTCACGGAGGACTAAGCGCATGGTGTAAACGTAGCCAATAGCAATGGGCCCCAAGACTTATAATACCCTATTATTATAGTACGGAGTTACTGTTCTAAATACGGACACGATACCGCAAATATACTGGTGGTATACTGTTTCAATACTGACATCTGACACACTGATTTTGGATAATTTCAGTATAGACACAATTCCGAAAATGCACTGATAATATACTGAATCGGTACTACTATTCAATACTGATCCACACATTGGGATATACCATATCATTGTTTTTTAAATACTAGTCCAGTACTGAAATAGAAAACTCATTTTTCGATACAGGATCGATATTTCGCTAGGATTCAATATTAGTCTACCGTATGAATTCCCACTTGAATACTATCAAAAATTCTCTGCAAAGATCTACACAAAAATATTACAATTTTTGAAAAATTTACCTTGTGATTATTTCGGTGAATAACTATACGGTTAATTTTCAGAAATCAGTCCAAGAGAACGAAGTTACGACCTCGCCAATCGGACACGCAAATTTATCTTGTGAGGAAAACGGGATAGATATGCTCACGGAAGCGAATTTAAAAGTCAATGGCCTGTAAACATTAATGCCTCGAGTAACGAAAGATAGCGAAGTGCTTTGTTACGGGAGTTTATGAGCCTCTTTATTGCCATCGTGATTTCTTCCCGATTGCCGAGCGTGCAGCTAGCGTAATATCGTGCTGTTGTAAGTCTACCAATTTAACCGCGGGAGAAGTTAAACCGGCGACAAATCGTCTTATGTATCTCTGCTTCGTTACGTATAACGCCAGTCTCAGATGATATCGACAGACGAATAACAATTTCTTAGAAAGATAGTTGCATGGAAACGCCACCTCAACAATGCATATCTATATTTTGACTCTAGTTGAGCGGCATCATTAAATGTTGCGAAGCATCCTATATACTAATTGATCCTCGAGAGACAATCGCACATCTGTTTTATATCAAATGTCTTCTACGGAATTTTTATTCGCGGTTAATAACTTCGCCTGTTAGGGTCTTTATTAAGCCAAACGAACAGACGCGCATTGTCGTCTCGATATTCTTTACCTAGTAAAGATTATTACGAATAATGTAACGATATAAACTCGTTTGCATTGGTGCGCGATACGTTTTAGGAATTCAACATCGATTCCGATAAAACGGCGAAAATAGACGTCGCGCGGATTTCCGCGCGATGAAATTTACGGCGCCAGCCAATTCCGCGAAAATGGAAGAACGTCCGCGAGGTTTTATTCGGCGGGTACGGGTGCTGGTGCTTTATCGACACCCCTATCGGGACTCATTTGTTTTTGCTTATCGCAAAGTTACGTGACGGAGCTACCGTAAATATGACGGACGGGTGCGCGACGATGGAATCTCAGTGCGCCGTCAGAACAAACGAGCGCCACGGACGAACCCCAAAAATCTCCCGACACGCGGCAACGCGACGGCTCGATTTAGGGGCTGAACGTCGAGAGGGAAGTCTCGAGACTGAGAGGGGTTGACGTTCGACTGCGAATCGATATGCCTACCTACCTAGCTATATGCGCGAGCAAACCGTATCTCCGTACTGGACCAGGAAAACATGGCCGAAATTTCGCAATTCTCATATTTTCGTGTTTCGCGTATTTGTTGTGATTATGATTTAATCCTCACAACGAAATTTACATTTAATGCAGTAATATGTTTTAAATTTTAATTAATCCAGTATAATAATTATAGTACTTATTTTTTGTAAAATTATAATTATCATGTTGAAGTTATTTGGGATAATAGAGAGAGAATGACAATAAATCGTTTATTAATTTAATAAGAAAAATGTGATGAATGCGCGCGCGTACTGTAATTTTTAAAAGTAAATTCCTTGCCAAATTTAAAATCATGAATTTAAATGTTTCACGCAAATCAAATATCTTGGCTAAAAATAATCACGAAATAATCTTGTTATTTATGTCTCTTCTTATAATTAAAATGTTACGTTTTCAACACATAACATGTTTTCTTCATAATTAAATCTATCAATTTTATGTTAGGAAAAAGATAAGGCTATCGACGTATTTATAAAAAATGTAGTGCGATAAAAAGTCAAAGCTTTTTTTAGATGTTTTTACTTTGTTTTTCGCTATCACAACGTTATTTCATATCAACTAATCCAAACATGATCTCCGCTTTATCGGTACCATTTAATACAGCGACAATTGAAAACTATCTCATCCGCACTCTTAATTTTTTTTTCAATCTTAATCACCCCGCCTAATTGCTCAATTGCGCTCATTACCGTCTCCGACGTAGTAAAGCGAGTGGCGATTAAATCTTTCCCTCGTCGCCGTTCCCTTCCCCCGCCGCTCGCACTCCGTGACGGCACGTCGCATTTGCACGAGAGAAACTTATCCCTCGGTACAAAAATCGCTGTATAGATAATTCCGCCTGAGTCCCAGCCATGGGGCGGAGCGTCGCGAGGAATGCCCCCGTTAGTAGTTTCCAGCCTCGCCCCGTTCTGATCCTCTCCTTCTCGCTCTATCATTCGGATTCCCCACTTCCACGAAGAGACCTCTCTTCCGTCGACGAGCGCTCGACCCCACCACAAGCGCTTAGCCGAAGGCAAAACGAAAAATCAGGGCGGTGCTGGTTGAGCGGTCAAACTCAGTCCACACGGAGAGCTCGGCTTGACTAGAGGCTATCCAGAGCTGCTGGTCAGCGATCATTGATCCACGAGTCCACAAGAGCTGTCAAACGTCGAACAATTATCCCTGGTGTGATCGATGTGCCTCAAGCGCGTCCTTCTCCGGAGCTGATCGTTGGAGAATGTTTGGAGAAAACCCCGGATTTTGCATTCGTGAGAGACCATGTATGAGTCAGTGAAGAGTCATTCGTGAAGCAGTGAACTACGTCGAGCTTTTTAGTCCGTCGCGGAATGAGCAGATAGCTCTTGTTCAGAAATATCGAAATCTTGTTATTGCGGATCCAAGCAGTGCTAATCGACGTATAAGGTGATCGATCGACGTCTAAGAATGACAGTAATAAGGATGACCTCGCCGGTCACGCCTGCATCGACCAGTCCGGACTCGTCAGACGAGGCTCAGGCGTTGCAGGCAAGTCCTAAACCGGCTCATCGATTGAGCTTCTCTGTCGCGGCTCTGCTAGCTGACACTAGAAAATCGTCAGAGTCCTCGACAAGACAGGACGCGATCCTAACATCACCGAGATCATCACCGATCATATCGTACGCGATTCGACAGGAGCCTCGTATGCTGAAGCATCCATGTGATTTCAAAACATCAAGATATACCTTATCATCATCGCCCAATCTTAATCAAGACGTCAGATTGATTCGTTGCGCCTCTCCTCACAATATTTCGGAGCCCAGAACGCCGCCGAGGTATCCCGAAGTGATCGACTATGCCTGCAATATCGAATCACCCGGCAGAAGATCAACCTCTGGTAGCTTGGATTATCGCATGCATCCATCCACCGACGCTAGTACTACACCAGAACCTATGGTAGGTTGTTCTTCGTCTCCGAAGATCGGCAATCATCAGGACGCCGGCTCGCAATCACCGAGAAGCAGCTCTCATGGTGAGGCGCATTCGAGGTGTTCAGAAACGGACGATATCGAAGAGGATGATGAGAGCAGACTGGTTGACGTGGAAGATCTTCAGCATCATCCGTCCAGCCCAACTCCTGTTAGGCCGACACCGGCATATCTTGGTGGTTTTGCCACTATCGGCGGTATCCCGGAGATCCCGCCTAGTCTTCACCCTGCAGTCTGGGGCGGCGGACATCAAAATGCAGCTGCAGCTGCAGCGGCGGGATTCTCATTTTTCTCATCATGCTCCTCTAAACGGTAAGTGTCTTTTATTTTTTAACGATCGATATGTATTTTTAAATTATTATCGCTAGAATGATTAAATCGACTAATTTTCAATATCCTCAATTATATCTAATGTAAACCTTCTTATTAGTGATACTAAAATGATAATAATTTTTAACGTTTATATTGGTGATACTGATAAAATGAGAGAAGGAAATGATATATGAAAACAGAAATCTTCTTTTCTTTTATATTCTGAATAATAGTTCTCCTAAGTAGCCATTAATCGTTTCATTAAGTAGTCATTAATCATTTGATCGTTCTAACATTTCGTTTCAAAAGAGCCAATCTATTTGGCCGTGCGACGACAACTGTGTTTGCAATTGTCTTTGAGCTTTGGCGTAGTGCCAATCGCCCTTGTGTTTCTCGGCAGATTCTTTTCATGGTTCATTGCGGCTAAAGCGATTACGCGGTTACAGACGCGGTTTACGGATGGCTATTTCTCGCTGCTATATAGAATCCAGACAACTTTACTCCTTATCGATGTGTAATATCGAACGTGATGATATTCTGAAAACATAAGCTTCGCAGAAGGTTATCTCGTGGTAATAATCACGCAAATACACTTTCTGTTTACGATTTTACAACTCAATAAAATTCGATAGATTATAACTATTTAATGATATTTTCTACAAGTTTTTACATCATAAATCTCTAATTCTAACATTAATAATTAATACGAACCGATATATAATATATTCATTAGTTATTTGACACGATTGCAAATAAATGATATCACTTTCGGCACTAATTAGTTAAACGATTTACGGATTACAATGATTGTTGAAAAGGCAATCTCAGCGCCGTCATTTTGCCTCATCGAGAAACTAATTAAAGACGCAGGACCGAACTACATTTTGCTCGTGGATTTTTTGACGAAACAATGGGTAATTATTGTAGAAAGGCGAGACAAATCGAACAATCGACGAACAAAAATTGATTCTGTAACAGCCGCTTCGGCCGCTGCACGATAGCCTACCGTCGCTCGACCGGGCCAAACAATTCTCACGTATTTCTACTTGATAAATGATTGTTATGAAAAAATTCTCTTGTGATTCATAGATAAAACATTTATCTAATATTGTTACGCAATAAAATGTGCCTCGATGGTCTTTAAACAATTAATCATTTTTATGCCAAATTTAATTAGTCTATTTGTCTCTATATGATAATTATCAATTTTTTATAAATGATTCAACCTTTGATCACCGTAGATTAATTTTATACAACAAATAAAATTATTTAAAGTACATTCAAGAATTTTAAAAATCTAAATATATAATTAAAAATATGTCTAGTTAATATTTACACGTATTCTAGAAATGTAAATATAAATAAAATAACATTTAGTCCAAAAATAAAAATAGCTACTTGTGTTCTATTATAAATATAAGAAATTCTCAAATAAGATCCCATGTGAAATATACGATACGGGAAAAATGTAATAATTCTGAAATATGAACTCTCATAGAGGGTATTTTCACAGATCGGCGCACCCCTTCAAAGTTTTACGCCACCGTTCTTTTATCGTGATTATCTTAAATAAGTGATTCTGTACCATAAAAAAATTTATTGGTTATACAAGTGTGGCAAAGTTTAGACAGTTACATCTTTAAATTGTCCAAACAATTATCAACAATACACAGTCTTTTGAAAATATTGCTTTCTAACATAATTTGAGTGTTGTTGAGAGAAAAAATATATAACATTTTTATTACAGTTAACACAAAAATTTCAAAAAATTTACATGTTTCAAATATGACAATATTTCGAACACGTAAATTTATTAAAATATATTTTAGAAACTTGAGATATTTCTTAAAATAAATTATTACTCTTTCTTATTATTTTTGTCTCACATAGCTATATGAATTAGAAAAAATTTTTAAATAAAAATACGATTTTCCTGATATAATAATATATTACACCAGATCAAAATGTTTTTCATGCGTCATCATTCGTTTTATTCGTAAATATCTGAAACTAAAATCTTTTTTAAAAGCACAATATTATTGATATACAAGCGCAGTGAGAATATCAAACATGATTATATCACGAATGTTAATCTTTTCGATCGTTATGCAATAAAAGACACCCAACCGTTCACGATTCTTCCTTTCCAGTTTGCACTACATTCGATGATCGTTGCATTCGTGAAACATGCTTATCTCAGTGGAATCAGCTAATTATTTCGAATGTACATTCTCGATCGGTAGCTCCGGATTGAAATCGGCCTCCGCGTTTTTGGTAGCCCCGCGACACGGAGAGATCACCGGATGCCGAGACTAATTGGAACCCTTAGCGAGCGGTGAGGAGCGTATACAAAGGACAATTTCGAAGTAGGATCGAGCATGGAGCATACTATCATGTTATAAGTCCGGGTTGATGCGTAGAGAATCTTGGAACGACGACAGAGAGAGGGAGGAATGAGGAGAACAAGGCGAGAGGAGATGAGCGAAGGGCGGTTCTGACGACGAATTTGAAATTCAGAAACGGCAACTGCCAAGACGACAACGACGTGGCCTTTTGTCTCGTCGTGATCTCGGCTCGCTTCTTCTGTACAGAAGCTGTTCACCTCCGCTCTACAAATCTGTCAATTGTCTCGAGACAAATCTCGAGGAATATAACCGATATATTCCAATACCGGACTCCCTGTGTATTCCTTTCTGTTCTGTAGTAGTTTGACGCGTCCTCGATTATCTGAACGCGGCATGGAGGCATAGACGATATATTCTCTGTATGTTGAGTTTTTAGATATATTTAAAATATATGTTGAATACATATCCAAGCAATTATTTATTTTCTCTCCAACCATGAATTGTAGGATTTAAATGAAGCAACGATTATTTTAGATTTTATATAAGGGAAGTAATGAAAAAGTATTATAAATTAGTAAAAAGGCGCGAAATTTTCCTTGAATTTTTCGTATTAACATTTTTTAATAAATTATTTATAAGAATAATTGAAAAATTTTTTAAATGTATTGTTTAAATTTTTATAATGTGATCAAATTTAAAAATTTTACGGAATTTCTTCTCGTCTGGTTAAGAATGATATTATAAATACAAAAAATTGATACTAATAAAATTCGTTATTAGTATACATATGCTTCTGTTCAACACAAAATCTTACTACGATCATGACTAACAAAATAATTCAACATTAACTATCGACAAGCGTATATGCCCAATTAACCGATGTCGCGGTCGCGTCTTTTTCTAAACAGCGAACGAAAAATACCAAGCTCACCAACGACGTCTTCCTTCACGCGAGCAGGCGTTACGATCGGCACTCTTATGCGAGCGGTAGCCGCGGGCCGACCGTGTAGAAACAATTCGCGGCCGGAATTTTGCGGTCGGACGGCAAAAAAGTAATGAGGCCAGTTTGCGGCGCCGCGCCGTTCCGACGGAAAAATTATGAATTGCACCCTAAAAAGACGGCGTTTGCCCTCGCCGGACTATTCCGTCGGTTCGAGGCCGACAAAAACGGGACATTGCGGTCTCGGGCCCTTTTCTCCGTTGGCCTACCTATCCCGCGGAACACCTTCGCGAGAGGACTATCTGTCCGTCAGTTTGTTCCTACGAGCATAATGTTCGTCGCTGTTCTCGTGCGCAACATGCACTTCGACTGAAAGCGTGTTCCTTTTTTTTCTTTCAGAGAACGGCGAACCGGCTAAGATTAAGTGCAACCTGAGGAAACACAAGCCAAACCGAAAGCCCAGAACGCCCTTCACGACCCAACAGTTGCTGGCCCTCGAGAAGAAGTTCAGAGAGAGGCAGTACTTGAGCGTTGCCGAGAGGGCAGAATTCTCGTCCTCATTGCACCTCACGGAGACACAGGTAAAAATCTACTTCGTGTATGAATTAGTGTTAAATTTGATATCAAATTGTCCTTAATAAGAAGTGACATTCACCGCGTCATATGGCATAATTTTTAAAGCATATATATATATATATAAATATAATAATAAGTATTTATTGCTAATAAAGCATGTACAAATCATGGGTAATTTTCTTTTAAAATTAAGAGTCAATTTCTCTAACCTTTTATATAAGATACCAACATTATTTCGCAAATGCTTGTAATACTAATTAGCAAATAAGCTATCGATTGCTCAACTCTTACCTCTTACTCTTACTTACAATCGTTTTAAATTTATTAACAATTTATTGTAAATTATTACATAGTTTATTACTTTATCATAAATTATTATAAGAGTTTATAAAGATAGGTTGTTAAGAAAATCAAAGTTAGGAGCGTTTTATTGAGAATCATAAACTCTCCTCATTCGTTATCGATTGTGGCGGTTATGCAATCAAATTAGCACATTAGTATCCTGCCCGTGAGAATCGTAATTTCTTTGAGAGACTGATTTTTCATGCGATGTTTGCTAGACTCTTAAACTACTGGCACTGGCAGTATACTCCCCACATCTTTCGTCACTTTTATTTCCTCGGTGCCATTCACGAGTCAAAACAGCACGTCTCTCAGAGCTTAGTTATGGTAACCGTACGGTGCTGCCAGATGCGCGGTAATTAGCGCGCGTAAATGCGCGCTACCCGAGCCGGCGATACAAAGCAAAGAAGACGGTAATTTTATTAATAGACTACAAATTGCCTGAAACGCGTTCTGCGATAGCACGCGATGACCGGCCAATTATCTCCGGCTGAGATCCCGATTCTCTGGCAGCGATTTCCGAAACACATTTCGCGTGCTTTCGCGCGTACGAACACGGTGAGCGCGAATCGCGCGAACTCATTTCCGCGCGGATTCTGCTGCTACGAAATGACCCGACAACAACTACGTCGATTATTCGATTAAGATAGACGTCGATAAAAATTGCACTGAAGGGTAACGGTTTGTTTATGGCCGCAGATGTGCCGCCGCGATATCGCGGATTATTTATCAGTTCCTCTTCTTGACTTTATCGCGATATCGTTAAGACGTCGTTTGCCAAAATTATACCCACAAAGTGACATTTAAATGGAATATAATGTGCTCTGTCTTCTAGTTTATTTTAAAGATTTTAAACGCGATGCCAAACGCTCAAACTGCGAATTTCAACGATAGAACAAAATTACACAAAATTATACGCTGCCATAAAACTGGTACAATTTATTCCTATTACACTTAAAATTAATGTTGGATAAATGTTGTATATATCTAGTTAATATAGATATTATCAGACATTATTACTGATATACTGTGATAAATCCTTTGCCCTGTATTAATTCCATATTTAAAAATAAATTATTTTCTGTGCTTTTAACGCAAATAAAAAGAGGAATGCCGTTCTCTTATCATTGATATTTAAATATTTCTCGATCGATTTTCACTTAATATTGCTCGCTTTTGTTTAAAATTATTTTGTGCATTTAATTGTTTCCCTATATTTGTTCTGTCTACATTTAATATAATTTTACTCGTCGCAATACGTATAAATTTGGAAGCTACATCTCAACGAAGCTACGTCGTTATATTCTGAATAATCTATTAAGTCATACCAAAATATATACGAATATACGAAGGTGCGAGTTACCATATTCCGTATTAGTCATCATGTCGGAACTCATTATCTTAAACACGCCGTTGTAAAGTCAAATTGATTTATTGTTGCAGGTAAAGATCTGGTTTCAGAACCGACGTGCCAAAGCGAAACGTTTGCAAGAAGCGGAAATCGAGAAGCTGAGAATGTCGGCCGTGAGACAGCATCATACGGCGCTATACGGCTCGCATCCGGGGATCTTAACCCCCGCGGGACTTTATCCCGTAGGAATGCTGTCTCATCCCGGATTAACGCCTCATCACGCAATCGCTCAGCATCCCGCGAGGGAATGAGAGCAATAATGTTCGATACCGGTTGAAATGATCTGTCATCGAATCTCACATCAAGAATGATTTCGGCGGAAAGGGCAGGCTTAAAAATTACATGACTGCAGTATGTTGATAAATAATATTAAAATCTCGAGAAAAAAGGGAGAGAGAGAGAGAGAGAGAGAGAGAGAGAGAGACAGAGACAGAAATTTTGTCATCGGCTTTATATACTTTTTCCAGTATTAGTTTAATAAAGAAAGTGAAGAGAGGCTCTCACAGGTCTGTTAAAAAATTCGTCTGTGCCAATGTCGCCCATCTTGAAAAGGCTGGAAACTATTGTAAATAGAATTGTAAATATTATTCATGTACCGCGCGTTAATTACTTTGTACATAAATACCTAGTGACTATTTGAGAAATGGGGTTGCATTTGCATCGCTGAATGCAAGTAATAAAACGAATGAATCTTGGTAGTTTAGAGAGAATTCTTTTTCCAATTTTGTATAAATGTAAAGCAAACATAACGACCATCAGAAGAATTTATTTAATAAATTGTATTATCGTAAACAGCAAATTTATTCCCCTCATTACCTAAAATCCTTTCTTTTGTCTTATTAAAGAAAGTCTTAATAAGAAATATAAATATAGAAATTTAAATATGAATTAATATGTTATATGTGCTCTTTCTTCTTACAGGAATTTTGAATTAAAGCAGCGTTACAATCCGCACAAAAATAAAATATTTCAATTGTTTTGTTTAATGAAAAATTCTAAACAATTTCGAAATTAGTTTTTTAAATAGTAAAAGATTATAAATATTCCGTTTGATAAATATTCCGAATACAAATTAAATAAATAAGCTGACATTGTTCTTCACACGCTTTAGTTTTGATGTTAAATCATGAATTTAAAGTAATTTCATGAATTGCAAATTTCAACAATTTTTAATTTTCAATCTTAAATTATTCCAACAGCAATTTTGTATTTAACTTTATAATAAGGTAATTCATTTTTATCAAACAGGAAAATATCGATGGTGAAATATCGAGCGTATAATTGTATGACGGAAGCTACCTCGTTCAGTCGCAGACAATAATGTACCATGCTACGATACCGAGATCGATTCAAAGTACGTCCTTGTCTAAGTTTGAACACCTACGTGAGGAGGTCGTCCGTGCGGATCTCCTCGGGTATTGCGGTGATTACGCGAGCGCGATTACGCGGTACCCGAGAATGGCGTCTCTGTGCGTATATGTCGTTGGGATAAATTAGCCGTGGCAATTAGTTTCGGAATCGACCTCGCCGGGTGGTTGGCGCCACCATCTTGATTGCGCCCGGGGAAGAACCTTCGAAGACAGTAGCCAGCACTGTTTGCCGAAAGGCCCGCGCCGTTCGCGCGGTCTAATTAGCGATGCCCACCGAGATATCGCCGACGTGCGCTAATAATACCGAGCATAAATATTCCGAATTTTTTCGTCTGGTGGCCCGTCCGCCCCTGCTAGCCCCCTTTCATCCATGAGCCGCCGTCTGCGATATATCATTTTTGCATTAGTTAATTGCAGCTTTGTTCCGCGGTTCTTGACACTTGGAACATTTACAGATAAAAGGATCTAGGAGATCAGACATCAATAAGCAAAACTAAACAGAAATTCTAGGAAGTAAATTTGTGGAGCTACAAGTTGGTGTCATAGCGATTGTCAGGGAGAAATATGAGAGAATTATGAAACACAATAAAGATAAAATGAAATAAATTAACGTATTGCGTCTAACAACTTATTATGAAAAACATCAGTTAACATGTGAAACAGCTAAAGTATTAAATATCCTATATTATTATTGCACTATATAATTGCACAAATCTTATTTATAATAATTGGCATATTATTTATAAAAATTGAAGTTGCACCGTGATTGTCAACAGCTTCTATATCTTCCGAAGAATACAGCTATAATTTGTACAAACATACATATACAAATTTGTAAATTCATAATCAATCTTATCTTATCATTCTCATGCAACCAAAGTTAAACATCCTCATAGAAATACAATATATCATTTACTATTTATAGCACAAGAGATTAAATGGTATTCACGAAATCATTTTTATGACTGATTAAAATTAATGAACGATTAATATGATAATAAAATCTTTCTCAAACTAACCGTTTGAGGTAAATAAACTTTACTAGGGAAATTGCTTGTTGGACGCTTCTTTGTTGTAGACTTATGATACATTTTTAATTATCTTTTTAATTAAACTTAATTGTGTAAGTCACAAAAAATTCCATATTGGGATATTCTTCGAAGAACTGAATGATATGTATAACGTGCTTGAATTTTAATCGCGCAATTAGTCGCCAGTCATTACTGTCTGTTTCAGGAAAGTAAGATAACGTCAGATCGTATCACGCGAGCTACCATATTGCTTGTTGAATTTTATTACGAAAACAGAACATTCACATACTTTGCTACTATCTCTTATATCAAAGAAAAACATATCAAATCCCTCGTCTTATATTTTATTTTTATATATTATATAATGGTATTTTATATATAGGATTTTGTATTTCTATTATTAATATTTTAATTATATATAGTACATATATTATTCATAATTATACATATGATTTTATAAATATTATATATATATATATCTATTAGAAAGATATTTAGAAATTACGAACCATCTGATATATTTCTGAACTCTTATCAGTATATTATTAAACTCTTATCAAGCTCTTTCAAACACGTCAAAGTAAGAACTAATAATAAGTTGTTTATGAAATATACTTTTTATAGAGCATCGAGTAATTGTACAATTATGCTAGTAATGATCAACGTTTAACATTACGTTTACTCCTGTAATAATTAGATTAAGGATTATGAGTCGTCGCAATCTTGTCGAATGTTTTATACCAAATATGCCAATAATATCTACATTTAATCTAAGTATAATATATGAAAATGCAAGAATTGGCATCCGATTAAAATACAACGTTTCTATAAAAAATATAGTTCAATTATATTTATGAAGAATTGATGTTATATTGATACTAGAATGTTAACATGTACTGATGTCGCAATCTAATTGCGCATCTTACAAAATCAATGATGGATGTTTTGTAAATAGCAACGATTGTACATTTTTTATGCGCACCTCATTTCCACGGTGCCTATTTACGATCTCGATAAGGCTTGACTAAGTTCAATCGAGGATCGGGTCAAGATCCTCCACGCGTGATTTTAAAATGGAAATCGATTAACATTTTAAATGTTCTGAATGCACAATTTGGATTTCATGAGTCGCCATTAGTTTCTATCATACATTTTATATAAGTCTTTATTTACATTCAATATACTGAACAAATGCGCGTTCACGTAATTTATGTTACTTAATTTCATTAAGTAATAATGTTAATTAGAATTTTCAAATTAATAATAGTCATTATTAATTCAAAATAGAATATATAATAAAATCAATAATAATCATCACATAGTTAACTCGTAAAATTCTTTAGAATAAATCTCATTCTTTTAGAGTGAGATTCATTTCAAAGAATTTAGAGAGAAATATTTTTTGGAAATATATGTATATATATGATATAAACACTTTAATTATATAAATGTTTTATCATTTTCTGTATTTTTCTGAAAACTTATAAAACATAGCGATGTATTTAATACTGCATTTCGTTATGATTAAATCTTCAATTTTAAAGAAAATGTTGATGTTACATACAAATTATTTTCCATAATCGATAATTATACTAGCAATATGCACGACTGACTGTTGCAATATTATATTATATATAAACCATTTGATTGAATCAACGCAAAATCAATGAGATATCTCATACATATATTGACATAAACAACGATAATTAATTATATTTAAAATATCATCTTTATAATAACGCTTTAACATGTTTTGACACAGCAATATATCAAACGTATTACATGTGAATGAATACTAATTTACATATCAGTTTGACCTAATGACCGCGGCAATCCAAGGACCATTAAAAAATTAAAATCTTAAATTTACTTCAAGGTTTTTAATCCATATATTTATTTTACTTCAACTGTTCAAATTATCATCGCTTACAAATATAAGAAAGTATATTCTTCATTTAATCATCAGAATTTTTAATCGAATTAATTATTCAACTCGATTTTTATCAAAAAATCATCGTCTATCATGCATTTCAGTTTCTTTTATATAGCAGTAATAACAAAAACTCTTTTTCTTAATATTAAGCATCTATTACTAATCGATCTCTCAATTAAGTACACGGAATATTAATGTAAGAGAAAGTAATTGCATAGTCAATCGCTGCGTCATAAAAAATCTATGATCGAAAGAAAACACGGTGATTTCGCTTTGCATAAAAAGGGTCTCTTGCTAAGTCATCCTGCTTTCGTTATGAAATAACAAACGATAGTTGCCAGAAATATATAACCGCGATCCATCAATATTCTCGCCATGCAACGCCGTTTTTATCGTGTGTCGGCTCATTTAAATGCTAAGCCTTATACGTAACACAAGGTGAATCGCTGTCGATTGTTAACTCTAATGATTTAATTAGCGTATCTTTTCGTAGAGAGCCGATACTTGCCTATCAACTCGGCTTGTGTTTTTCAATCCAATTATCGGCATTACGGCACGATCAACATTATCTGTTGTCGAATTAATGCGCGCGTCCCGCTTTTCGGAGAAGGCGGCGCGACGGGGGCGGGGTGAGTTTTAATGAGCGATTAACCCGGCGTTACGCAACGAAATTAATTATCTGCCGATAAATGCCTTCCACGGAGGGTGTATTAACGATCGCGATAAACCTGCGTGGCAGAAAACACGCGACAGTACAGATTGCAGATTATTTCGTGGCGCTAAACAAATGGGCTCGCGAGTGTTAGACCGATTCATCGTCGCTTCATAACGTCTAACGATTTTGAAATGCAAAAATGGATGAGCCAGAAATATATCGCGTTCTCTTTTAAAAAAATCGATAAATGAATCAAGTACACTGTGATATATTATTAATTCAATTTATAAAATAAAATAAACGGCCTTCTTTCTCTATAACTTTCTAGATTTCAGATTTATATACATGTACAACTTTTTTTTAAAACTAGCTCAAATTACGATTTTATTAACATAGAGTTCAAAAAAC